ATTTAAACCCCTGTGTTAGAAAGCTTGTTAGAAAGCTGCATGGTATGTTTTTTGGCTTATTTCTGGAGGAACAGACATTCACTTAAGCTTTTTGAAAACCCTCCCAGTTTCCCAGCTAGTCAATAGACATTTCCTAGCTTTTCTTCCTTCCTGAGGAATCCAGTCCCAGCCTCCAGCTTCAGCTCTGCCTCCACAGAGCTCAGTGATAATGGAGGAGAGAAATCTCCTTGACACAAGTGTAGCTGCAGGACACGATCTCTGCCATCGTATTTGGCTTCCTGTCCCTCAGAAGAGGACACACTAGGCCAGCCATTTCTTTTTGCTATCTTTCCCCCCTCTGCTGCCCCGGCCATACAAGTATGGAAGACAGAAAATTTCCTCATTAGTGCAAGGCACGGGGGAAAACCGGCAACAGGACTAGCCCTGAACCCCCCCCAAACTCCCTTTAAGTGGGTGGTGGACACCTCGTGGGTGTTGAGGCTGCTTCCAAAGCACGGAGAGGCAGTGAGGAGTCCTTCTGGAGACAGAGCACATATCAGAGGGGGACCAGCTGACCGAGGGGCACAGAGCCGGTTCTGCGCTTGGCTGACCTTCCTCTGGCGAGGCTGGCACGGTGCAGAACCACGTCTGCCCTGGAGATGTCCGCAGTGAGAGCGTTCCCTTCCAGTGCAGTCCCATCGCCCTGTTCTAAGTGATGGTATTTTATAAACAGAAGCATCTTGAAGTGTATAAAGCATTCCTTATTTTTCTCATAAAACTGTGCATTGTAGTCTCTCTGAATATTTAATGCTTGGTACTCTTGATCTCTCGCTTGATTTTCTGAATTCTGGATTGTTATGCTGATTTAGCAGGTACACGGAAGTCCCATCCCAATCAGCAATCACTGAAAAACTCCAAAGCCTATTGAACAGCTAAATCATCTTAGACCTTCATGTGCTCCTAAAGCTAAGTTCCCAGCTTATGCTTCCACAGAAAGGTTTTCAATTAATCTACCCCCAGCACACACACACACATGCACGCGCAGTTTTCTGTCCTAATCGATCTTTTACAGCTAAGTGGCTCTTAGTTAAATGTGAGATCCCTGCTGTTGTGTCGCACCACAGACAATATATAAAATACTTGCTAAGCATTAGAACAGGCATTTCCAGTTCCTTGATTGCTCCCCCTGCTCAGCAGAAGAGTTTCTGGACCCTGCAGGCTGCAGGTTTCCCAGCCCTGCCTCCAGCATCGACCTCACGTCCTACCGGGGGATGAAGTGAAAGTACTGCAGCCTGCAGGCCAGCGCTTTCCTCTCCCGTTTCGATTAGTTACGAATAAGGTCTGGTTTATAAAAATGTGTATATTTCAGCATCAGTATTTCCAAGAATCACCACAAATGGGGGAATTGTCATTTTCATTGTATTTGTGTTTAGAACATATGTACTTATTACAATTGTCATTGTAATAAACGGTAGTTCTTCATAATACTGTTGAACCGAAGAGCAGTTACTAATTTTTTTCCAGTCTCCAGAATGTCCTTTAACCTGTATGGGATTTCTGATGGGGCGAGGAGTTTGGGATCAGGCTATAAACTTAATTTCATCAGCGCCAGTCTCTGCTTACGGCAGTTCATCCTTCTGCTAATACTCGAGCAGATGCGTGGAGAGCACTTCAAGAGAAAATGTTTTTCTGAAGGTGCAAATGGTTGGGTTGCTGAGCTCCCCGGAGGGTTCATAGCCAGGCTGTTGTGCCTCTCTCCTTTTCTCTCTTTGAAGCACATTCAAAAGAAATGTTTAAAAAAAGCTGAACTTCATTTCCTGAAAATTCCTTATATCCTATTTCTGGTCTGAGGACCATAGCCCTCTCTGCTTGTATCAAGGGGGAAGTGACTGACGTAGGGAGCCGGGGCAGTGAAGTACCTCGTAGGCACTAGAAATTTGGCTGTGCTGAGGGG